TCACAATCCTGCCATCTGCAGAAGTTCTTGGATGACTCTGCCATTGTGGGCTGCATCACTGTTGACCAGGAAGTTGAAAAAAGAGGTGTGGTGGACAGCTTTGTGGAGTGGTGTGGACAGAACAACCTGCAACTCAACGTTAGAAAAACTAAAGAGCTGCAGGTGGACTACAGGAAGAAGACCAGCCCCCACAACCCTATCAACATCAAGAGTACTAAGGTGGACAGCTACAAGTATCTGGTGGTCCACCTAGACAATAAACTGGACTGGACAACTAACATCAACGCCCTCTACAAGAAAGGGCAGAGTCGCCTTTGTCTTCTGAGCAGACTCAGGTCCAATGCTGCAGATGTTTTACCACTCAGTAGTCTCCAGCGTCTTCTTCTACGCTGTGGTGTGCTGGGGCAGCAGGGTGAAGAAAGCTGATGCCATCAGACTCGATAAACTCATCAAGAGAGCTGGTTCTGTTCTGGGAGTGGAACTGCAGTCTCAGACAGAGGTGTCTGAGCAGAGGATGCTGAGGAAACTGCTCCAGATTCTGAACAACACGTCACACCCCCTGCATGACACACTGGATTCTTACTGCAGCACCTTCAGTCGTAGACTGAGACCACCGAGGTGCTCCACAGAACAACACAGGAAGTCCTTCCTCCCTGTGGCTATCAAACTTTTACACACCTCCCCATTTCTGCACATAGGACAATAAAATTATTCTTGTACTACAATAAACACTTTTTTCTGTCTGCACCTGACCTGTTTAGAACTTAATTGATGGCATTTTTATATTCTCTGTTATTTTTTATTTTCTCTGTTATGTTTTATATCTTGTGATTCCTGTATGTTCCTTTGTACTGAAACTCTGGCAAAACAATTTCCTGTGGGATCACTAAAGTTCTATCTTATCTTATATGATGTAGGGGCAAGACAGTCAACTCGGGACCCAAAGGTCCTGGGTTCGATCCCCGGTCATTGCACATCTCGTTGTGTCTCTGAGCAGGACACCTAATACCAAATTGCTCCCTGGGCACTTACTTAGCTGTCCACTGCTCCACCTGGGTGTATCCCAGGTGCAATGGGTTAAATGCAGAGAGCCAATTTTGTCTTTGTATGGGAACAT